TGTCTCAGTTGGCATGTTGTTTACTATTGTTCCTAAAGTTTTACTTTGTCGCACTCTTAATTACCATCATTTCTTTTTTTATATAGGTTTACAGAGTTTCAGATATGGAACTTGTGAGAGTGCTTCCCAGTGCAGAGGATGAGGTTAATGTTGCTTGCTTTCATCCCTTTGCTGGTGGAGGTCTGGTTTATGGGACCAAGGTGTGCTTCTGACGTTTCAGAAATCTGGCAATGATCAATCTACTGCTCTTTTGTTCTTTTCTAGAAGTTTTGTTTGACATTTACAATACTAATTTTCTATGAATTGCAGGAAGGGAAGCTTAGGGTACTCCAGTTTGATGGTACTCATGATGAAAATTCCGTTGGACCAAAATACTTTGCAGAGGAAAATACAGCTGTTGCAGTATAGTCAGCAAGGTTGTAGCATATTCTTCCTTTCATGTTTCGTCATGAGTTTTCCTTGTGTCATTATAAGGGGTCAATAAAGTCATAAGTTGGGGTGCTGGGTTTGGCAGGTGATAATGTTACCATTTGAAGATCTTTACATTCGGTACACAATTAAAGTTGGTGTGTATGTGTTGATTGAAAAAATATAATGTTTGTTGTCAACTGTTGTGTTCTTATACGCCCACCCCACCTATTTGACTCGATTATTCACCGCATGCAATCTATTGGAACTTCACTTTGACATCTCTCTCTCTCTCTCTCTCAGAAACCGTTCCAAAATTTAATCTCACTAGAATTGAATTCCTCTTCTTTGTTCAGATATTGAGGGAAATGGTTCAGAGAATTGCTTGCTGAGCATATATTATAAACTCCAAAAGCCTAGCCTTTTTCCTTCAGGTAGATGTATTTTCCTATAAATTCAATATTTGCATGCTTACCCTTATAATAATTTGCGAACTTGGCTTTGATTTTTATTGGCTTTTGTTTATTTTTGGAGGGTGGGGGAGGGGAGGTGTTATTGGTATCATAAATTGAGGGTTATTTATGAACTTAACTATTTATTTTGACTTTAATAGTTCTGGAGATGGTTTTGGATCGTATCAATTGGTTAAAAATTTGATGTGTATTTGACTATTTGTGTTTGTTGGCTTCAATCTAATCCATTAGGGTTTCGAGTACTGGTGTTTGGTTTTTGTTTGAGGTTTGTGGCTTTGGATGGAAGTTTCCATAAAGTCGTATCATCTGTATGTGATTGCTCTATAATTTCCATGTCTAGTAATTCGGAAGATGCTAAGTTATAAAAACTAGACTAGAACGTGTAGCATCTCTTTTTCACCTCCCCTGCTCTGAGTCCTGTAAATTTACTCTGCAGACGATACAAAATGCATTTTACCGAGACTGTTGCAATCCAGATTTTACGAGCAGTGTGTATTTTCGTATTTTGGGAGTAATTGTCCGCCTTACATCTTTTGTTTGAATGGTTTTTTGGTTGCAGGATCCATGGCAACGTAGATATTGGGAAAGCAAATCCATAAAACAGCTTCTGCAGTTGGAGCCACATAGTTCTAACCCTATGCATGCTTCTCTCAAACCACAGTTCTAATCAGCTGGGGAAGCTGGCGTCGGGGTCCTGAAAGATTGCACAACCAGCTTCATTGAGGTGGATGGCGGAGTTTACGCATTTACGGGTGACGACAAAGTGAGATTGACGTTTCGTGCTTGTACATAAACCCTTGTTTGGTCAATTAACAGACCGTTCGAAGTCGACTTTGTATTCATGTAACACTATCTAATTGTGAAGTGCAATTTTGATACGGAGACTGCTTCTCTGTGTCTAGAATTCCAAAGAAAAAAAATCCAAAAACTTTTGTCCAGCTTTTGCGTCAACAGCTAATTATACTAAACAAGCTCACATTGTAGTAGCACAAATCAGCATCATATCCAAACAAACGTTTTGGTCTATTGGACTTGTACCATCATTTTACCAAAATACGAAACCCTAATACAGGGACGAAGCTAGAAATTTAACTAAGAGGGGGCACCTTAAAAAATTTGAGCTCATTTTTTGGACAAATAAAGCTAGTTCTTTTACAAATGCTGAAAAAATTAATTACAAAATGCCTAATTTTATTACTCTATTGTCTAATTTTATCTTTAATTGTTGACAATCTAATGCTCATTTGTACTAATTAACCAAATGCATGCAACTCAACAAAGTTTAGACATTAGTGCATGAGGGGCATTTAAAAACTAAAAGAGGATTTTCACTATTTTAATATGATTAATTGAATAATTAGCAAAGCAAAAAAAATGGGAATGATTAATTGAAAAATTCGTAATGAAAAAAAAAAAAAAAAAAAAAGGATGAGAGGGGGCATGTGCCCCCATTGGGCCTTACCTCCCTCTGTCCATGCCCTAATACTTCCCAACACAAAACGTTTCCCCTATCACTAGATATTAGGGTATGCTTTCTTGCTAGGTAGCCGAATATGTTGGGTTGTCAGATTGTTAATTGAAGCCATAACGTTTTTGCATTGATCTGACAATCTAACATGTTATTAAATTAGGGTGTTTCTCTCTTGCTAAATGGTTTGAGACATTGTATTGACAAAATGTTGATCAAGGTTGTTAATTGCGGTCACATACAAATAATAATCTTAACCAATTTTCATTTTGATAATTCATTCGTATATTGTGTCGAAATTAATAAATTAAACTTTTTTAGGGTAAATTGTTCAGAAATAAATGGTAGTCTTTATTGTTAGGGGAATTTGCACATATACTACTTGGACTTTGCTGGTGTGCGATACTACTTGAACTTTTAAATTTTATTATTTACAACCCCAACTTTATATTATATAGCAATGTACCACCTACAACTACAAATTTTGATCGAGTCGCATTTGATTCACGACTTCTGAAACTCCGCTATACTCCACAAATTTGGAAGCAATGAGAGAGGGGTGGTTGATTTGGTTATGTTGAAGGGTGTGGGGTGGGAAGCTGGTGGGGGAGATTAGATGGGGGCCTACGCGTAGGAGCTACTACCATTATTAGGGTTTTTTTTTTTTTTCTCTCTAATTTTTGTTTTCAAAATTAAGAAAATAAACTAAATTGTGTCCAAGTGGTGCACACGTTAGGTCCACGTAAACATTCGATGTAGCAACTGTGTTGCCCAAACCATCACTGAATAGAAATTTTAAAACAAGCGATACGTTGTAACGTAATGCAAAGTCTAGGTTGTAAATAAAAAATCAAGTGGTAAATACGCACACTACCAAAATTCCAAGTGATATTGCGTAAAGGGTGGTGCTATCAACAAATTTATTTTTATCTCTCATACACTCCTCTCAATTTTTGGCTGTCATATGAAAGAATTGGAAAAAATTAACAAAGATGTATGCAAAATAAAAAAACAGGTGTGTAAATAGCACTACCTTGTGCAGATACCTGTCTGGGGTAAATTACATTTTATTTTACCTTCTTATGTCTGAGTGAAGTCACAACCATAAATAGCTTCTTTAAAACAATTCAATATCGTACATTACTTATTATTATATTTTAGTTTTATACATCCGATAAATTTTCGTCAGCTTCACCGTTATATGTCAACGTGATCGTGTTTGGCCCCACAAAATTTGTACCACATAGTACATAGATAAAAAAACTCAGATCTGACCCATAATAGGATTCTCTCTTCCTTTAATCTCTCCCCTTCTTCTTGAATGGTTACGATTAAGCCACGTCAACATCTTATATTGAATTTTTTATGCAAACAAAAAGCAAAGATAAGGGGAGAGAAATGAATGAAAATAAGAGGAGAGATGTCACATTCCAGTCTCGGCTCCGACGTAGCACGATATTATCCGCTTTAGGCTTACCATTCCCTCACGGTTTTGTTTCTGGGAACTCCCAAGCAACTTCCCAGTGGGTCACCCATCTTGGGATTGCTCTAAGCCTGAACTCGCGTAACTTCGAAGTTCTGATGGAATCCGAAGCCAGTGAGTTCCCAAAATGACCTCGTGTTATATGGAGGTGGGCATGTACATATAAGGACACATCACCCCCCTTCTATGTTAGTCGATGTGGGATGTTACAATCCACCCCTTAGGGGCCTGACGTTCTCGTCAGCATACTCGCATCACACGGTAGAGTGGCTTTGATACCATTCCCTCACAGTTTTGTTTCTGGGAACTCACAAGTAACTTCCCAATGGTCACCCATCCTAGAATTGCTCTAGCCCGAACTCGCTTAACTTCGGAATTCCGATAGAATCCGAAGCTAGTGAGTTCCCAAAAGGTCTCGTACTATATGAAGGTGGGCATGTACATATAAGGCACATCACCTCTCTCTCTATTGGTCGACGTGGGATGTTACAATCTACCCCCCTTAAGGGCCTGACGTCATCGTCGACACACTCGCACCACACGGCATAATAGCTCTGATACCATTCAGTCACATCCCAGTCTCGACTCTGTCGTAATACGATATTGTCCGCTTTGGGCTTACCATTCCCTCACTGTTTTGTTTCTAGGAACTCACGAGCAACTTCCCAATAGGTCACCCATCTTAGGATTGCTCTAGCCCAAACTCGCTTAACTTCGGAGTTCCAATGGAATCTAAAGTCAATGAATTCCCAAAAAGTCCTATACTATATGGTGGTGGGCATGCATATATAAGGCACATCATCTCCTCTCTGTTGGTCGATGTGAGATGTTACAAGAGAGAACCGGAAGAGCGGGCAAAAAAGCGGGTGCATTGTGCCAAACCAGAAGAACAGGCGGGTGTCAATATCATTGCCCACAAATAGATGAATCATGAATTTCTTTGGTTTTCTCTTTCTAAAATATCATATTTGACCAGTCAAAGGAACGTTAAAGGCGATCTCGATTACGTAAAGAGGATTAGTTCCAATGGGACATGCATTGACCAATTGTTCTCCTTCTTTAGGCTACTACCACAAGATATCGATCTCTCACTAAATTTACTAACCCTAGAAAAATAAAATAATAAAATAATAAAATATTGAAAAATATGAATAAATTATGAGCAAAAGAAGACAATAATCAATATGAATAAATTATGAGCAAAAGAAGACAATAATCATGGATTAAGGATGATAATAATAATTAAGAAGAAGAAGATGAAGAAGATTCGAATTTGTAGTGTTTATCAACAGCAAGAGAAACATCCCAAGTGCAGGTGAGTCCCCTTGGGATGGTGACAAGATCTCCAGCTCCAAACTCGACATATTCCGACGACCCTTTTGGATAATATGCCTTCACTCTTCCCTTCAACAAATAACACGTCTCCTCTGCATCAAACTTCAGCTGGTACTTCCCCGGCGAGCAACCCCATCTGTAAATTCATAATTCCAAAACAAAATCATAAATAAACCTACAAAAAAAAAAGCCCTAAGTTATATATACTTGAGAGAGAGAGAGAGAGAGAGAGAGAGAGAGATGGCAACTATGTGCCTTTGACTGAGGAGCTAATCACACCTAATCCTCGTGAGCAATGGTTGATCTTTTATTATTTTGGTCCTCACTTATTTAGGGTTTAAAGTGGCGCACTTGGGACTCTAATCGGCACAGAGAGCTAATCGCGCCTAGTCCTCTATTTACCGAGAGAGGGAAAGGGAGAGAGGGAGAGACTTACTTGGGCCAGCTCTTGATGTCCAGTTGGGATAAGCGAGATTCAGAAGGGTTTCTTTCAACTATGATTCTTAGGTCTGAAGATGATGAGGAACTTGCTGAAGAGGAGGGTTCTGCAGCCATGAAAATATTAGAAGGAATGGTTGTTTGAGAGGATGGAATATGAGTTGCAAGAATGGAATATATCTTCTGGACTTTTTTTTTTTTTTTAATTTGGTTGAATTTTTGGGCTACATATATATTGTGAGGGTTTTTCGAGAAGCTTCAGAAAAAGGGAATCTTTTACAAGGTATGAGAAGGATAGGAAACCTTCCTACTGTAAAATCTCTCTAAAATTGTACAAATTGGGATCAAACAAATTTTATAACTTTTAAAAAGTTATTATTTAATAGACGTGTGGTTAAAAAATATTAGTTATTGCACTATGGCTTGTTTCCAAAACTAGGCGGCTTGATCGAACCAATCCTAGGGCAGGTCCTGAGAATTTGGGACCCTAGACGAGCTTTCAAAGTGGGGTCTCTGACTCTTGACCCTTTGTACATTGACACGTGTAAAAAAAAATCATTAAATACATGAAAAATCTATTTCTCATCAAATATCATTAAAAATTAATATATCTATATATATATAAAATAAAATAAAAGATATACAAACATTACTCAAATATTACTCGTCTCCCGTTTTTAGATGCAAATGCACTTATTAAGTTTACATAATTTAATTTTTCAATCAATTCAAACCAAAACAGAAGTCCCTACCCAGTACGCCAAATTCCAATCATTTTCTATTGTTACAATGTTACTTATTACATTTAATAAATGAATGAATGGTTGGATTACAGAGACAACATCTTACAGCTAGGGAAAATACTAGAGTCAAGAGGATTGTAATTTTCGTATACGTGACTAGGTGGATGATGCGGATTTGAATAATTTATTGTATATTATATAAACTAATTAATTTGAAATTTTTCAAAAAAGGTGAGAGTTTTAGCCTTTTAGGCACATAATAAAAATATATATGGTGTGATCTTAAAATAGGGTAATAAAACCCCATAAAAATAAACATAAAGGTGATATTTAAGAGAGAAGCAAAAAAGTAAAAATAAGATGGTGGAGACTATTTGAAAATGAGAAGATGTGCAGCTATAAAAAAAATTAAAAAAAAAAAAAGATGGTGGGACCATCTTAAGTAAAATCGTGCAATTAAAATGATATTGGGAATAGGGTTGTCTTCTTCCTCGCGCAGGGCTGACCCTGCAACAAAAGATTTTCAGATTCCAGCGTTTACATATAAGCCCGAATAGCTCCCCCCCCCCCCCCAATCCCTGACTTGCCTAGCTCCACCTAAAAGTTGGGGGCCCTTCTGAAGTGGGGGCCTTAGGCGGGCCCCTACTCCGGCTACCCTCAAGGCCTGCTCTGACCAAATCTCCTCAATTTCGAAATTTCCTTGTTGAACAATCTGTTCTTCCCAGTCGGAATATGAGGAGTAAATTCCTTCCCTTAGAACCATAGACAGTCAAGTGAAATCCAATCCACAAAATAATTTGGTCTATGGATATCATCGTTGTGATAAAGGTCGTAATGCCAGAAGAATCATTAAAGATATTTCAAATTGTTAATTCATCGCCAGAGATGGCTTTGAACCAACAGTTCATTATCTAATGGATTTTTTCGTTCTAATACTTCATCCAAGAGTTATCAGTATTTACCCAAAGTGACATGGGTGCCATAGAATTACTTAGTTTAGATACCATATGATTTACTTATTTATCATTAATTAATGAATGTTGTGCATATTCCTAAATTGGATTCTTTGGAAGCTAAGTATCTTATTTCTGGCATATCTTTGTATGTACATAACTTAAATATTATATTGACTTATTTATCCCTAATGAATGTTGTATTTCTCAAATAGGATTTCTTGAGCGTTAGGTATTTTACTTCTTGCATATTTTTGTCCCCAATGACGGTTATATCTATGTGGAGACGGGTTTCGTTCAATCAGACCAAAAAAAAAAAATTTATTAGTACCATACATAATTTATTTCAATACATAACTGATTCCCAAATTGGGACTAAATTTTTTTATAACTTGAAGAAAATTATTCCAGTATAGATGATTACTTTAAAGAGTTTCTCCTATAAAAAAGGAGCAAGATAAAGGCATACCCTTTATTTCCTCCCTCCCTCATTACTATTTACCATTGACTTATCACATGCATCATGTCATAGTCACCAAATTAAATTTCATTTTCCATATGCTTAAATAGGGTAGAGGACCAGCCCATGAAAGCGACTCTTTTGTGTGCAAGTAAGTTTACATGTGAAATTTATTGGACGGTTTTAGAAGGAGAATCTTATGTACATTTTTGTCTACCCAATTAACTTATCATTGACTTTTAACAAAATAACATAAAACATATTTCTTATCATGATTCCTTGCTAGCTACTTAATGGTGTGTACAATAAGGCGTGATCTTCTCGTACAACCATTTACTTTAATATGTTATTAGTTACAACTCAATGCTAATAAAACTCATCAAACACATACAGTGTAGGTAGGAATATTATTTTCTACGACCGGAGCATGGCGGATCAAATTTGAATACCTTAGAAGTCTGGTCATGGACTCAACAGCCTCCTTTGCAGAGCTGAATAAATGGAGCAGCGATGCCACCATCATCTTGTTCAAGAATTAGCGGGTGAAGTCGTCACCATGATTGTTCTGCAAGATACTGAAACCTAATTCAGTAAGCAATCAACATGTTTCCTAGAATCTTAGGGTCCTTATATAAGGATTGACGTGCACACAAGTAATCTCACTCCTAAGAAGATGCAATATTTAATTTCTAGATTTTCTTTGAGATTCTCTTGGTTTAATCCAAATTGGCCTATCCTAAAAGGTATCATCCTCGAGCTTTTGATCGGCACCCCTCCCCCATTTGTTGGCTAACTCACAATTGTTTATTCTTTTACAAATTACTTGGATTTGTGTATCTCCACCTAGTACAACAGTGCGCGAATTTAGTTCCAACAATGTACATTTCTTTCTAAAAGAAAAAAAGAAATTACTTTCTTAAAAGAGAAGTTTCATTACATTCATGCATTGTGATTTTTGCCCTACTAAGCTAGAACCTCACCCCTTATTAGTATTTGACAGGTATTGAACCAAAGACCTAAAAAAGTAGTTGACTTTCATAGTTGTCTAGTAAAACTTCTATAGTGTAAATTAGAGCGTGACTGTGTTTTGAAAATTATGAAGGTTATTAAGAGATGTATATTTCTTTTTTTCTTTTTTTAATTCGAGCATCAGATATAGAGTTAGTTTTCCTCAAATCTCCGGTTCAGAACGTGACAGTATCATCTTGTGTTAGGGTAAAAGGAATTTTACAATGCACCAATACAAACACGCTTAGGGCTCATTTGGTGGCTCAACTTAGACTTGAACTATTCTAACAAATTTAAATTATTGTCCTCACCATTATTTGATGAGCTTAACCGTACTTTATAAACTGGAAAACAGTCTAATAAATTGTGTCTTTCAAGTCTTGTTCAAAAAGCGAGATTCCATAGAACATGCTCGTACTCATTTCCAATCTTGTCCAGTCTCTGCCACCGAACGACCCCCTAAAAGTACAACCCTCCTCGTTTCTCTCTCTTAATCATGGGTTGGGTCAATTGAAAGGAAAATCTCTTGGACCCAATCAAGTATCAGAGCCCAAAGACCTCGAGGTTTCATCAAGCCCACACAAGCAGTACCCTAGTTTTTCTTGCATTCCAAACGGCTCGTAGAGGCCCAAAAAAGGGGGATGCTTAAACCGGTTCGAGTACAGACCCGGGTCAGTGTAGTTCACTAGAGCACGTTCTGTCAACTCCCACAACAATCAGTTGTTCACATATTCCGATCCTCACATTTTCTCTCTTCCTCTCTCTCTCTCTCTCTCTCTCTCTCTGCGCTTTTCGCTTTGTGGTTTCAGTCAAATCCATGGCTACCCAAGGTCAAGTCATCACCTGCAAAGGTACTCTCTCTCTCTCTCTAGATAATATATGTGTGTATACATCTTTCTGTATATGTATATACAAATGATATGGTTGGTTGTGATTGAGAATATGTTGTGTGGGTGAAATTGAAATTGGGAATGCGAAGCGGCGGTGGCCTGGGAACCCAATAAGCCGTTGGTGATCGAAGACGTGCAGGTGGCTCCGCCGCAGGCTGGAGAGGTCCGGGTCAAGATTCTGTACACCGCTCTCTGCCACACCGACGCTTATACCTGGGGCGGCAAGGTAAAAGCTTTTCCATTTCTCCTACGAGTCGGTTCCATAAAACTTGCACTTGCTTGGATTGTTAGAATAAGTTGTGATCTTTGTTTGGTTGAGATGATAATGATTGTTTAAATTTGTCTAGTACTCGGTGGCTTAGCCGGCGGCGACTGTTGTGAATGTAGTGCAAATGGGGTGGTTATTTATTGAATTTTTGTTGCTGTTTTGGTTTTGAAGCTTGGATCTACAGGCCTTCAGACGTCTCATCAAAATATGAAAATTTCCATTGCCTAATGTTGTATAGAGATATTGCGTAATAGTTATTTACCAAGTTACGAATGGAGGTGTTCTGAATGATGTCTGGAAATCAAATCTGACCGATAAATACGGTATAAAAGAACTGAACTGATTTCATAAATAGTTATGAAAACTTAGTGGGTTTCTTGGGATGGTTCGGAAGGAGCTTGAATTCTTAATAGTAGTGTCGTCAAGTCAAAAAATTTCAAATTGCAGCACTCTAGTTCATAGTTCTGTTTGTTCATTTTAAAGAAATATGACGGGGGCATTTGAATCTTATTTGAAGATGAAAAGTAGTCTGATTGAGGATCAATTTTATTTAGAGGGAAATGTACCTGTGTTCATTTAATTTGCCTTGCAGGATCCTGAAGGTCTCTTCCCTTGTATTCTTGGTCACGAGGCTGCAGGGTATGTTACTTATGCATGTAGTGTCGTGGATCAATGGTTTATAGTGTCTTTGGTGCTGAAAGGGGGTCCACTTCATCTTGGTGCAGGATTGTTGAGAGCGTTGGTGAAGGTGTTACTGAAGTTCAGCCAGGAGACCATGTCATCCCTTGTTACCAGGCAGAATGTGGAGAATGCAAGTTTTGCAAATCAGGGAAGACAAATCTCTGTGGAAAAGTACGTGCTGCCACTGGAGTTGGAGTCATGATGAGTGATCGCAAGAGCCGTTTCTCTGTAAACGGAAAACCTATCTATCATTTTATGGGTACATCAACATTTAGCCAGTACACAGTTGTTCATGATGTTAGCGTTGCAAAGATAGATCCAAAGGCTCCATTGGAGAAAGTATGCCTTCTTGGATGTGGTGTTCCTACTGGTAAGGATAATAGTACTTTTTTTAAGCTAGGCCTGGTGAATGTATTTCAACTTTTGTTAAAGCATACACCTTAATCATAATAATTTGTAATATTAAATTCTATAACTGGTTATATTGATAGATTAGAACATGGGATTTTCATCACCGCTGTCTTAGTAATTGGCTTCGTCCTTTTTATGGGGAAAAAGAAAGAAGATTGTAATGATTGTCTTCTTCTCTATGGTTGTTGCATATGATGTACGACTTATCTTATGCTTCTATCTTGATTAATCATGTGTGTCACATACTAGGTCTTGGAGCTGTTTGGAACACAGCAAAGGTAGAAGCGGGATCAATTGTTGCTATTTTTGGCCTTGGGACTGTTGGTCTTGCTGTAAGTTTGTAATCAAACCTTAAGTTAATAATCTTGTGCTGAGTTCTAAACTGTAATGAAGTAATTGTCATAACTTGACAGGTTGCAGAAGGTGCCAAAACAGCTGGTGCATCGCGAATCATTGGCGTTGATATTGACAGCAAAAAGTTTGATACAGGTACATATTAAGTTCTCCATATTAAAACCTTACTACACTATGTAGTGTCTTGTAATTTACTGTTTTCGAAAGTATGGAAGAGGTCTGGTTCTACATGCTTGGGGACAAAGCTGGTGTCACCTAGTGGGGCGAGAGGAAAAGTTGACTTCTACCCCTTATGGGAATAAGGAAGGAAGAATATTAGGAAACTAGTTCCTGTGCATAATGGTAGTCAGTAGGTCACATTCACGCTCCTTGCATAATCTTGAAGCACCTGAAATTAGCCTTTTTGTAGTATTGTACTTTTATTTCCTGCACCTTGGATTCTTTTTCTTCTGTTCTTTAACTTGTCGTATAAGACAGAACAATGCGTATCAAGCTTTTGTTTTTAATATCTTTTCTCATTAGCAGTATCTTGGATTCATTCAGCAAGGTTTTTATTAACAGTTTAAAGTTGACATTCTATTGCAATTTCTTATTTGCAGCAAAGAAATTTGGAGTTACTGAATTTGTGAATCCAAAGGATCACGAGAAGCCAATCCAACAAGTCCTTGTTGATCTCACTGATGGTGGTGTTGACTACAGTTTTGAGTGCATTGGAAATGTCTCCGTGATGAGGGCTGCCTTGGAGTGCTGCCACAAGGTGAGTGCATTTATGACCGCTGGCTCGAATAATTTTGCATAAAACGCATCTGGAGGTTGCTGAAACTCTTTGCAGGGCTGGGGGACATCTGTTATTGTTGGTGTTGCGGCATCAGGGCAGGAGATCTCTACTCGTCCTTTTCAGTTGGTAACTGGTCGTGTCTGGAAAGGAACAGCCTTTGGTGGTTTCAAGAGTCGCTCGCAGGTGCCATGGCTTGTAGAAAAGTACTTGAAGAAGGTAAATGATTTTTAACAAATATTCAACAATATGAATTCCTTTGTAAGAAATTATATAACGTATAACATTATGTCATGGCCTTTTGCAGGAAATCAAAGTTGATGAATACATCACCCACACTTTGACTCTTGGTGAGATCAACAAAGCATTTGATCTGATGCACGAAGGGGGATGCCTCCGGTGTGTGCTTTCTACCGATGCATGAAGTGGGATGCCTCCGGTCTGCCCTTGCTTCGGATTCACGAAGAATTCCATGTAGGCTCATTCCTAGTTTCTCATGTGATGGAACTTTCTCCTTATCCTTATCCCTTTTAGTGGTAAGATTTCAAAAAATAAACTTGACAGTCCCTGCTTTGTTTATAAATAAAACTTCTGGCTGGTTTGCTACTTGTTATATTAAAAAGTCTTGCTCTTGTGCTTTGCTATCGTATGCGATTGTCGGAATGTTTTGCTGCAGAATTATAAGATTCTGATTGGCGTTTTGTCATAACTGAATCTTGTTATCCATCGCGTAGCCTTACGTTTATCGGTTGAGAAGCCTAAATGCCATTATGCCAGTTTATGAAGAAAGCTTATTTCTTCCTTCTTTTTTTTTCAGTTTTTGCTTTTCCGTCAAAGAAAAGCCTTTCATTGTCCTAAGTTTCAGGAGCGAAATGGTACACACCCTTTTTGGCCTTCCACACACCCATATTTATGTCCGTTGATTTTGTTTGATTTATTCAATCCAGTGGTTATCAATAAAGAGGGTTGTGTGAGAGGCTAAAAAAGGCGTAAAAATCATTTCATTTTCAAGAAAAAGATTAGGAGTCTTAATACTTTCTCATATAAAAAGACCCCAAGTCCATAATATTATTAGGGTAATTAGATGGACGGAAATAATGGCTGTGGAATTATATAGGTTACTAATATGAAAATTGAAAAGAAAACCGGAGGAAACTTTCGGTTTGTAACTGATTCGTGGTCTTGTACTTGTGAAGACGAATACATGTATTTGATGTGAAGCGTGGAGGGTTTGAGATGTGAGTGTAGTGTGATAACGTATGTTGAGCGTTTAAGATAATTTTTAATTTAAAAAGTAAATACGCAGTGTTGTCAGTAACGGGGTGTAATCAACAAAATGTAGGGTGTCAATAAAACAACCCTTAGAATTTTCATGTTTTTGGTACAAGCACTACCTTGACCAACAACAAAACATTTGGAAGGCTACGTCAGTTGTATGACTCTTTGTAATACCAAAAAATGACCAACTTTAACTCGTAACAAACATCACCCATCTTCAAGAGACAACCAACCGGCAGCTCGAGGTGGATGAGACGCAACGGTGTGGCCTACTCAAGATGGAGGAGCCCAGTTCCCGGCTTTGAACTCTTTATAGAAGCTGGAGCGTTTAGAAACAACATAAAACACTGCACGAGTATAAAAACGACTCTGGTAAGAAACCAAAAGGAACGAAACAGATGTTGTATCTAAAGTCTGAACTGAAGGTGACTGCTAAAGACGCACCTGGGATCCCTGGAACGATGAAGTTAGGTTCTTTCAGAACGTCATTAAGTGTTCTCTTTTCGTTTACTTTGACCCATTTAGAGGAACCTTTTCCTGGGGAGCATCAGATAAAGGAAATTCAGATAACCTTGTCGAAAAATGTAAAAACTGGGGAAAGGGGGTCGATAATGTTTATTTGTAACTGGTGAGTAGACAGGTGACTGCAGCAAATTGAATGTTTAAAGCTGAAAAGACCAATCCTGTGCTGAGTCTTTGAGATCATATGAGCATGAAAACGTACAGCTATCAGTCCACAAACCCAAGAAAACCATATCCATCGCAGCCAAGTGAAAGCATAGCACGCATATGATAAACACCCGAAGACAGGGATAGAGAGGATAAAAGGAAATTAATCATTAAAGAGAAGAAGCTAAAATTTGTCCATGACCAGAGGCCACCAACAATATAACTTTTCATAGCCTAAACCACAAACACGCGGAAACACAAGCAGGCATGAGCCACTCTAGTGCACCGGAAAATCATATCCAGCCTAATAGCTGAAAACTCAGAGTGCATAATCAATGAACTACTGATAACTGGGCTAAAAAAGAATGGTAAAGGCACCATACCTGCTGAGCTGCCACCATTAGAATTCTCATTGGCATCCTTTTGCTCGTCATTGATGCTTTCCACATTAGAAGCCGGAGTGCCCTCTAGGAGACAACGGAGGATCTCTGTCTTCGACAGAGAAACTCCTGAACCAGCCTGTCAAAATCAAGGATGGAGAAATAAAAAATTAAGGATCTTCAAAGATACAGAAACCTCTTTACTTGCTGACATACCCATAAAAAAGTATTACTTGGACATGCAATCAACAGGTCTACTGCAAAAGAACAAAAAATGGAGTTGACTAGGTTTAAACAAGTTCACTCATAAGCCTCGTTTCCTGCTCTTTGATGCACCCACAGGAATCCCCAGCAGGCTCTACTAGTTACACTTTGACTTCAATTAACCTCAGGGTAAAACAAACCATTTCTACAAGCCAACTGTGATCTCATGCCCCAACTATCGAGAACTAGACAAACCTAACATCTAATCACAATCCTATAAACTACGTGCATCCCAAAGTCCATGAAATATTACCTCAAATAAATGGATAGAAGCATCCTCGAATCAGATAATGTGTTTACGTTAACCCAACAGTACAACAATCAATGCCACAACATCCATTTCGCCAAACTTAATAATTAATATCACTTCATGTAGCTGATAAGGTTAGACTCCCGAGATATAGTGACTCTGCCAATTACTCTCAGAGTCTCAGTACTCCAACACGATATAAGCAACCCAAAATATAGATAAACTTCTTGAGAAGTTTACTATCGCAAAATATTGAGAAGACTCTTCAAAAAGAAACTTCGTTTTACTTTGAGTGAAAAAATAGAGTATATTTTTGCAATCACTATATGTCAACAAAGCGACTATAAACTAAAATGACTTACTTCGTAGTATAACTCAATAGCATCACGAGTGTAATTGTGTTCCTGATCCCATGACAAAGGCGGGCAGCTATCTGAAAACATGTTTGAAAGTTCAGGAAACAACAAAATGTACATCTATCCAAAAGCATGGCATGCTACATAGAAAACTCACAGACAATTCAACTTTAAACTATAATAGAACACTTTAAAAGAAGGATATCATGTCGAGATGAGCTGACAACATGTCGGTCTCACAGAAATCCTCAATGAAGTCACTGGACATAACCTCTGCATACAGCAGAAGAACTGGCCAATGAAGCATGTTATTCTTGTCTAGTACAGGCTTTCGTAATCCGGTAAGTTCTCGATACATTGCCTTCCCAAGCTTCATGCGTCGATTTTCAATTGCGGAAACAAGGTCCTGCATTGTTCCAACAAACAAACAAAGACGAGATCGATAATCACAAAACAAGCATAATCGCAACATCCCCATTACTCTATAATTATTATAATCACACCTTCGCCTCTGCAATAGCCTTGGAAACTTGAGCCTCACGCTGCTCATGTTCCATCTTCTTCGATTCAATCTGCCTCAACAGCTTCTTCAGCTCCTCGTTACCCGGGTCATGTTTAAGCCCGTTTTCGCAATGTGATGTTGATTCAGGCAACAAGTTCAACGAAAAAGACGCTTTCGCAGCTCGGTACAAAGCCTAACAATCAAAACCCACATTTCTTAAACCAAACAGACTAAAATTTCAAACAAAACCCCAGCTCAGAAGTACACAAAAAAGACTAGAAATTCAAACAAACCCAGCACAGAACAACAACGACAACAACCACCACGTGGCGAAAACGGAGCACCTTGAGATTAGTGGGGCAGAGCTTGATCGCTTCCTCGGCATCAGTAAGAGCGCGCCTGTAGTTACCGAGCAAAAGATTGACATGGGCTCGATTCGAAAAGAGAATTGAGGTGTCGGAATCGTTCAAAGCTTGCTGATTGATTGCCCTCGTGTAGCAATCTATGGCTTCAGAGAAATGCTTTTTACCCTTCTTCACACACTCGTTCCCCTTTTCCTGCCAAACCCAGAATTATGAAGAAAAAAATCCATATGGTCATAGAGAGAGAGAGAGAGAGAGAGAGAGAGAGAGAGGGGACCTTGAGTTCAATGGCAGCGCTTTCTTTGAGGGCGGCGATGGCGTCAAGGTCGGCCTTTTCACTTTCGGTTTGGGGTTGGGATCCCTTTTCCATCAGCAGCGCCATTTCTTACTTCAAATTCGTCTCTTTGTTATGTTTTGTTGTTCTTCTGCTATTTGCAATAGAGAGAGAGAGAGAGGAGAGAGAAGCAGCGTTCTTCAGTCCACTGTCCGCAGAGTTTCTAGACCCATCTCCAACAGGAAGCAAATTATGGTTGGTGATGGGCTTGCTGGGCTGAGTTTTAAGTTCTTTTCTTGGTGATGGGCTTGCTGGGCTGAGTTTTAAGTTCTTTTCTAAACAGGCCTTTAATTCTTGGATAAAACTTTCCTTCAACGGGCTATGCTTCATGTCTTCCTCTTCACATTGCGTAACAAGTTCTTCGATGTAGGATGAATAGAGCAAGATCTACCTGTAAATCGATCGGAACCTGTATGCTTTGTTCCGATCGACCAACACTCCTTTTGAAGGTCTTTGGTGATTCTGTAGGCTTTGTTCTTCGGAACCATCTTGGTGTGGCCGTGAGGTTGGAACAACTTTACACGTGGCCTAATGGCCCCGTTTAAAGTTGTTTTATGTACTTAAACGTTTTTACTAAAAATGCTTTATTGAAAATACAATTGATATTATTTATAGAAATTCAAATGCTTTCTGAGAAAACACTTTAAAGTAGTCCTGAAAAAGCACTAGCAAGCGCTTCTTTATAAAGTACTTCCAACAGGAAAATGATCCTTAGCAGATCCTTTTCCTGATGATTCCGTGATCTTGATTGTCCATCTTATATTGTGTGATCAAAAATCAATCAAAATTTAAAATTAAATATAAATTGTTCCTAACAAAAATTGACCGCACGATGTACAATGAACGGTCACGATCACAAAATTCCCGAAATCCCCAGGAAAAGGGTCCGACATTTTGATTGTCAGAAAACAGTGTTAGTTATTTACATAAACAAACCCTAGCAACAACTTTTTATTAGAACAAAGAAACTTTGTCATTTTCAATTTTCTTTGGGAACCCAAAAGGGCAGGAAAAAAAAAAAAAAAACAGCATGCAAGAATGAAGTACCCCATAATTTCAAGCATATGAATTAACGAGTAGAAGACTTAGGAAACAACCTGCCTCTATAGTGCATCTCCAAGCTAGGGATACCTTGTACCACTACTTCAAACACCTATACACTACCAAAGCTCCTCACAACCACCTTATTTTGCCGGATCACACGCGTGTCAAAACAGATTTTTCGTTTCAAAAGCTCAAGTGAGAATCACTTCACCTACGTACATAAGCTTCCCGCTTTTAGGGAAGGATTAACAGTTACAGTCGACTAAACCTGCGCAAGACCATTCCAGGGGGGTTCAAAATCAAAGATGAGCGAATCTATAAAACTGGGCTCAGGAGACATGATATTCAGATGAGATGCCATTAGATCATTTGATTCTGCCGGACCAGACTGGGTTTCCATAAGCCAGCTTTCAAATTCTTCACCCAAACCATTGAAATTAGAAACTTCGTTAGACCGCTCATTGACAGCACCTAGCCCATATACAGGGTCGGTGCTTTGAATTTCAGAAATATCAATGGGAGGCTGTTGCTGGATAGGAGATGGCTGCTGAAACTGAGGTTGCTGAATGGGAGGTTGCTGAAGCGGAGGCTGTTGCTGAATTGGAGGCTGCTGAATTGGAGGCTGCTGAACAGGAAGCAGCTGAATTGGAGGCTGCTGAAATGGAGGCTGCTGAACAGGAGGCTGCCGAATGTTTGGACTGGAATTGTTTACCCAATCAGAATTCGTAAAATCCAAATCTGTGACACTCGCACCTAAATTACCTTGCAGACTAACATTCTGACTCTGATTCCCATACTGATATCCACCTTGACTGGAATCTGGACTTGGAATCCCGTACTCACAAAAAATTTGGCTATCATTTTGACTTTGATTCCCTTGCTGTTGAAAAGTTTGGCTATAAATTGATTGGGGAATGGCCTGACTATATGTTTGGGGTTGGGAGTGCAATGTATTTCCAACGGAAGTGGTCATGGGCTGGGAAGCGCTCTGATGCACACTAGAATGAACACCCTGCAACCTCAAGGGGTTTCTGTCATTTGATGTTGCCATGGGAGTGGACGTTCTCCCGTATACTGATGGAGTGGTACAACTACTGTTATTTGACGAAACAAATGTGGTTCGGTTCATCGGCAAGGAAACCCCAAGAGCTCCTACTCTTTTGAACGTCGAATGAGAAGAGACGGGGCCTAAATGACCAATATTTTGACCTCTGTTCCTCCCAACAACATTAGCGCGTGCACCAAGCAACTGCTTCGAAACTGAACATGGTTGGACTTGGTTCTTAGGGAAAAGATATTCTGATTGGTGGTTTCTGATACTAGGCATGGTACGACCAGCTGAGGTGCGATGGTGAATTGTGGCTGGCCTAGAGACCTGATTCTGTGATATAGAGTTAGGTGCCAACTGAATAATATTGTGTGGTGGAACTGGACTGTGTTTAGTCGGTGCCAGATTGTTTGAAGCTGGTAATGGTGCAATTTTCGGTGTCCTGAATTTTTTTCTCAGTATTCTCCATGTCTCTTCTTTATCCGTGGCATGACAATGATTAAAGTTGGAGCCTCCAGTGCTCCAGTGTACACATGGCGCCAGCGAGTCACAGACATAACAATGACACTGCATTTTAGAAGGAAAAAAAAAAAAAAGACATCGTAGTGGTATATTGTCAAACTCAGGTAATAAAATAGTATTTGATGGAAATTCTATAAGCAACAGCTTGTAAGAGTCAACTCACAAGATCACAGTGGTTCTCATGCTGGGTAGTTTTGAAAGGGAATTTGGCACAAAGATGTCGTGGATGAGGGTAGTCTCTACATGCTACCTGCAACCAAAGAAATAAGGTCAATTAAAGCTGGAAAAGCAAAAGGTGCGTCCATTTTCCAACTAATACAAAAATGAAGGGGTTAGACAATGTATGGTGCTACGGTCCTGTATTATGAGAAACAAGTTTAACATAAGAAAATAACAACAGCCTGAGAAAGATGAAGTGGCCAAGCAAGCAAACAACACCAAAAATTCAAAGGGAACTTCATCAAACCCATTGAACTGCAAAATCAAGGTCACCAAATAGCAAGAAACAGGTTTTCACTTTTACCATAAAACAAGAATATCAATATAACTATGTCTGAAAAACAATATCATCCAGAAAGACCAAAGTTCAAGCTCACAGACAACGGGGAAAAATTTGAAATTTGTGTGAATCATTCCAATACATCCACAATTAATTCTCCCTTACTAGAAAGTTAGTCGCGAAACGTAGAAAAACAAGTCTTGGATTGTTCCTCTTTCATATGATAACATTATCATTAGCCTAACCCAAAACTGAATGCCACAACTAATCAGTTTGCTACGTTTTCATGACTACCAAAACAGAGTTAAGCACCAGTCGAAAAATTATTAAGATGCGATAACCGTAACCCTTCAGTTGAAATTAAATTTCTTTAAATCCTCTAATCAAATCAACAATAAAAAACTTCCAAAGCATTTAGTTATCTTTCTCTAACTTCCAATTCAGAGTAAACTAAACCAACCAAACAATGCAAATCGTACTTAAACCTAAATCAGGTCGAATTGTTCACCAAAAAAAAAAAAAAAAAAATCAGGTCGCATTCATACCTGCCCCGTTTCCCCAACCACAAGCAACTCGTCGGAGCCGCTACCCGAATTCTCCACCACCGAAACCGGCTTATCCGGGTTGCCGTCCAAGACCACACAGTCATCGTCATCATCCGCCACCGTCCGTTTCGAAGACATTTGCCTAGGCTTGGAGTTGACCACACTAATCACCACAACGTCATCGGAATCATCGTCGTCGGTTACCTTGTCGACGGGTTCCAGAAGCTCCGATACCCAATCAAGGTTGTCCTCCTCATCCAGTTCGATCCGCCCCAGTTCGTCGTCGGAGCTTATGTAAATTGGACCCAAATTCATCGCTGATTGAAGTTCACAGACTAGGGTTTGAAGAAAAGCTCGAACTTTTGATTGAACTGGAGAATTCGAGGCATGGGTTGTGAAGAAAGAAACGAATGAATCAAACGGGAAGCCAATGCTCGAACCAAATGAAAATGGGCAAGCCTCGGATTTCCGGGCAAATTTCCGGACTTTCCCGGGAAAATTTCTGTAAAGGGAAAGTTGAAGGATTGAGGAAGGGCATTTAGGGTTTTGAATTGAGCGAGAGAGATGAAAATATTAGGGTTTGAAATGGATCGTCGATCATGGCGGGGAGAGAGAGAGAGAGAGAGAGAGAGAGAGAGAGAGAGAGGAGGAGTGCGGAAGTGACTCAACTCCTCGAAGTCGTTCAACCTAAACCGACGACGTACGTTTGGGATATTGACGGAATTTTCCGTTTTGTGAGGGGCGTGTGTTGGAACTGGGATTATCGTTCATGCCGTTGGGTCATGCAGGCCTTGTGGTCGTGGGTTGGGTAGACAATCGGTGGGCTAAGTTAGATTTTGGGTTATCAAGAATTTGTTAGCGAGTTTCAATCTCAAGTCGCAGATAGAATCGACATTTTATGTGTTTATAAGGAGTCGGTTTATTACAAATTATAATATTGTGAATTGATTTTATGATAAAACCTCAACTTCTTTCATTATATCAAAGTTGATTCGACATTATACTCCAAATCATCTCATTTGTGTTGAGACTTGAGATCAACCCCTTCAAAATATGTAGGTGTCTGATGGAGTTCTACGTGTGGTGCATCACCAATTGTTGCTAATTTGTGAATTAGAGTGAATATTTTTTCTTCATAACTGCTTCATCTTCTACATTTAACTTGGACAGTCCTTAAAAATGATCCTATTAAAAACAATTCTCTCAAACAAATGCAACCTTAATTTCTGTTTTATGTGGCCTTTAGTCTGCTAACTCGTGACACTTTTTCAAACCAAAGAAAGGAATTAACAACTGGGCATGTGGTCCTAGTATCATAAAATTGTCTAAGACATATGTATGTACCCGGGCGAATTTGTAGCACCATTTCATTACACAATTTTTGACACAAATTTTTTGTGGGACGTACACTGTAATGTATTTTAATGATCCGAACTATCTATATTTTAGAACATTATTTATAGATCATCTTTGCAAAAAATTAGACAAATCCAAAACCATTAAGACATTTATTTATAGTGAAGAAATTGGACAAAGATAGTTCTACAAAGAAACCATAAACCCTTAATCTAAAGGTCGTATGATTTCAAATTTGAGTAATTTTTTGTAGACATGATATTTGAAAGAAGGTTTAAAAGATAGACGATTCGAATCGTTGAAATACATCACGGATCCGTTCCCATAGTTATATACACACGTATACATAGCAGTGTTCAATGTGAATTGATTGGTCCATATAGCATCATATACCATGTAGTACATTGCTATTTACATATAGCAATGTTGGAGGTGGATTGATGGGTAAGTGAAAGCAACCAGACCATCCGACGTATATACTTGTTAGGTGGGTTTTGATGAACTCTATTCATTTCGAATACCAACATTCATCATCTCTTTAATTTTTTACTACTTATTGATAATTTTTAGATGCGTACTAGTATTTAAACTCGCGCAATGCTGCAGGGTGTAAAACTCTGTTAAATATGTGAAATATATTAAAATCTATTCACATTCATATTAGAATCTAAAAATGATTCAAAGTGTACTTGGAAATCACGAAATATAAATGTCTTGAACAAATGTAGAAAATCTTAAGGGGGTGTTTGATTGGTCTCACTAAGTGGGACTGGACTAGACTGGATTAAGTATTTAGTGTAATCCCATGTTTGGTAGGTAGAGGGACTGAGTTTAATGGGATAAACTCGGACTCGCTCAGACAAATTCCTTCGCTAAGAGTTCTTCGCGAGGACCCCCAATTTTCACGGTACTACTAAGCCCAGAGAAAGAGAAATTCGTCGCTCGTCTGCGAGAGAAGACGTCCTACTCCTTCGCACTCGTCATCCTCACCGTCCTCTGCGTTCTGCTCGCCGTCCTCTGTTCCTTGTCAGGTAAATTTCGAATTTGACGATTTTCTTCTTCGATTTTCTTTTGCTGATCGTGAACGACCTCGTTGAACGACTTCGTTGTTTTGGTTTGAAAACTTTTCAATAACTAATCTGAGCAGTTGAAAATAAATTAAGGTTTTGATTTTTAGGTTCAAATTGTTATTAAAGTTCGGCTTTTACTGGAGTGGATTTGATATATATATATATATATATATATATATATATGAATTTCATCTAATATTTGTTCTTCTGCCATCGTTGAATTTCATCTAATAATTGGTATGTATATAGTCTATGATTATATGTGTCTGTATGTATGTACGTACTCTGTGTGTGTGGGTGTTTCATTCTATATGGGTATGCTGATTTTGGGTGTGTGTGTGTCCTGGAATTCAGCATATTCAAATCCTTGCAATTGGACCGGAGTTCGTTGTTTTGATTTCAAGGTAACTTCTCTAAATCTCAGTGGACTTAATTTGTCTGGCACTTTGTCTCCGAGCATTTGTAATCTTCCTTACTTAACTGAATTCAATGTGTCCAAGAACTTCTTCTCTTGTCCTTTCAGTAGTGAGCGAAGAAGGTGGGTTTAACTAAAATGAATCATGCTCTGAAAAATATCTTGTTTATCTACTGTAAGTTGGAACTAATGGTCCTGCTTCAATTTCCTGCATCTAATGGCTCATGTTCATGGGTTGTTTGTCTTCTTGATTGATGAATCATATTGCAATATATATGTGAAGTCAATGAATTCTGGGCTTAATTGCAAGCAATAATCTTACCATTGCCTCCATATCCTGTTTTGATCTGGGTTCAGATTTTCGTTTGGGAGATGCATCCTTATCCTTCTTTGTTTGAGTATTCGTCTACTGTGATCATTGGAGTTTGGATATATAAAAGAAGGAGCTCCATGGCAAAAATGAATACAAATAGAGCAACCTCAAAAGTTGTAAATTGATTGGAGCTCCATGGCAAAAATGAATACAAAAAGAGCAACCTCAAAAGCTGTAAATTGATTGCTCAAAGGCTAATTTTTTTATAATTAGTTAGATATCCTGTACAAATGGAAAATAGAATGAGCGACTTGTTTCTTTTCCGACTTGTGATAGCTACATATTTGAATGCCTTTATTGTTTGATTATGTTTAAAATATCTTTGTTCAACCTCTACTTCTTCATTCAACAGATTAAAAAGACCAAAGAAAAAAAAAAACTATAATCGTTAATTCAAACTGAGCATACGAGTATTCTTGTTTGATCTCTAATCCTTGTTTCCATTTAGTTCCTCTTGCAAGCTTGTTGGGTTTTTAGTATCAAAACTTATAGAAGTAAGTAATCAAAACTGAGCACAAAAAAGATTTGTTAAGTAATGAAGTTACCTAAAATTCAAGCATTTGTAATGCTTAATAACTTGTTTCTAGCACTTGGTAACTTATATAAATCAAGTAATGAAGTAACCTAAAATTCAGTTAAGTAAGGGTTTGGCAAATTGTCATTATCTCGAGATTCTAGACTTGTGCACAAATAGGTTTCTTGAAGAAATGTTGACCACTTTTTGCAAAATGACCAACCTTAGAAAGCTTTACCTCTGTTAGAATTATGTGTTTGGTGAAATGCCTGAGGAGAGAGGGAATTTAGCTTCACTTGAAGAGCTTTTCATTTACAGTAATAATCTTACCGGTGTCATTCCCATGTCGATTAGTAAGTTGATTTGTGTTGATTTGACTGTGAAGTTTGAAAGAAATGCCGGTTGGTGAAGAACCTTGGGTGGGGATTCGTGTTAATTTGACTGTGAATTTCAGAATCTAAGTTGAGTTTTTTCAGATTGTGTTCAATTTGACCCTTCACGTAGTTCGTTCCTTTGATTTTGGTGTCAAATTATAATGCTTAAGTGAAAGATTGATATTTTTATACACATTGGATGTAATTATGTAGTTATTTTCACCATGTATGTCGAATTTTACTAGATTATTTGTACTTCTATTTATTCAGTACGATTGGTGGTTGTGATCTTTTAGGCATGGAATTTATACACAGAAGGCAAGTCCATTGAAATGCTCCATACATCAGTAGGAGACTCCAGTAATCCACATGAAGTTTTGCGGTCAATCCATGTGGGTTTTTTATGTGTGTAGCGAAATCCGACAGATAGGCCAAGCATGCCAGCTGCAGTTCTGATCTTGAGTGATGTGGATTGCCTGAACCTGAAGAACCTGGTTTTTACAGTGAAAGGGATCTAGATGACAACAAAGTCGATCCTTGTGCGAACAAGGTTACAGCTTTTTCATCTGATGAAGACACTTTTACCCTACTCAAGGCTCGATAGTTGATATTTCATGTTGCTGTTTATTTCATCATAACTTGATCTGATGTCTATTGAAGTGAGTCAAGTCAATCAGATATTTATTGAGTAATCCTACTTATACATTTTCTTGCTTTACATATGCTTTGCTCTGATATCAGCGGTGACTCGATTGGAGAGGAATTCAATTTGATTAGATGATACATTAGAATTTCTGTGATTTGGATTCAACAGATTGTTCACTGTATTTTTTAATGTTTGCTGCAGTATGGGATGAACTAATGGTTTTTTTCTTTTCGGTACAACTTAATTAAACATCGTTCAAAAAAACACCAACATGAAAGGTAATAAGGCAAACGACAAAGCAAACAAAGCTGCAAAAACACAACCAAAAAAAGCAAACAAACCTTTAACTTTAATCTACAACTTAAAACCAAAGATGAATAATAATTAAGAAAAACATCATGAACCATGTCGTTTGTTGGGAGAAGACTTTGTTATATTGATGTTTGGAACAATGCTACTCTTGAATCATGTATGTTTCTTTTGTTGGCAAGAAAATTTGGTTTTGTATTTTTATTGAGTCTCACTCTCATCCAATATTATTAATTTTAATAATATCTTTAATAAAAAAAAAAGCAATTAAAATAGAACAATAATGTAGTCCTAGTCTGGGCAAACACCAAATTGGTGAACAGTGCTGTTTTCATTATCCTGGTTATTAGTCCAACACTGCACCAAACACTTCACTAAGCTAGTCCAGTTTAGTCTAGTCTAAGCCAGTCTAACTTAGTCCCTGCAGCTAGTCCAGTCCGAGACAGTTCGGTGCAACAAACGCACCCTAAATGTATTTAGACACACGTAACATTAGACACACGTACCATTTGAACATTATGAGCGGCTTATTATCCAAAATACAATAGATTGGTTGGCCAATCAACTTTTCAAAAATTGAATTAAGTTCGAAAGTATGCGATCTCACATCCCTGGTTGCTTATCCCTATACATGCAGCAAAATAGCTATACGAGAAATCTGACATTATGCAGCAAAATAGCTATAAATTTGAAATAAAGTACTTTTTCATCTTCTTAATGATGTTTTCAGTCAATACACCATTTGTCCCCAAAAGACTTTTGTGTTATAAGCCTTGTAATTTAATATTCCACCAAAGAAAAAAAATATAAAACACACAAATGCACCCTCTCCTTCTCCTCTGTAAAGGAAGAAGACAACAAAGAGAGAAGATGAAAAGGAACCGACTTAAGTATCAGGTGTTACATAATTTACAAATGCATGTGATTCGAAAAAGAAAGTTTGAGTGCAAGCAGTGAGATCCCATCCTTGCATTGCTGTTTCCACATAGCACTCTGCACACAAAATTCGTAAAAAAAAAAAAAAAAAGGTAATACATAGTCCATACGCAAATCAACCAACAAATAAAAAAATCATTGTCTTTCAATCCCAATAGATTTGAAAAACCAGTTGATCTCTTCAAAACCCATGATACAAAAACATAAATTTCAAAAGACTCTCAGGCAAAAGACCAAAGCTAACGGCTAGCATGTTAGATGCTCGGTGCTACACAAACATATATTTGTCCGTGTTGTGCTCGAGTTACCGAGTTTAATGTAACATCATGCTTTCGTGTCTAATCTCTGATGTGAGATTGGTTGCACATGTGGCTTACTATATGGTAGCCATATGGTGGTCTCCCACGTGAGGGGATGTGTTAAATATGAGTCCCACATCGGGAAATTTAGAAAATAAAATAAAATATATAAGTGTATAGTTTCACTCCTAATACACTGAGACATTTTGTGATAAAACTCAACACCTAACAAAATGTGATTAACTTGGGACAATATCAGTATGGTTAAGAGTGAGACAATGACTCGTCTCTCTAAATATCTCACACTGCATTTCCCAAGTCTTCTTCTCCAATGCATAGATTCGAACCATAAAACTCAAAATAAGTTTAAAGATTTGTGTTTGTGCATTGAAAGAAAATCAGAAAAACTCAAACCTACCATTATTTTTTTTTACTCAAATATTGGAATGCATGTCTAGTATTGGTAGTATATAGTTTTGTATCAGAGACCACCTAATAAGTAGATGACGTGAACAATATCTGGCCTATTTTTTAAGATGACGAAGAAACTGCATTTGCGCCACATAAGAAATAATCATCATTAAGCTTTGACTTCTCATAAATTTATATTTTGTATCCCAAATGATAACCAACTGCATAGTTTGACAGCAATGCTGCAAATATGACTTTCTATGCAGCCTATAAACGAGTGTCATATCTGTCGCTTGATCAATTATAAGTAAGATTCAAATAATCAAACAAACATAAAGCATAGATGATAATTATTTTTTCTTTTTTGAACAAACGATACTATCTATACTAAGGTGGGTGAATTTCACCTCACTATGGGCGCAATAATGTGGTTCAAACTTGCGTTTGGCGAAAATCGAAACTAAGACCTCTCACTTACAAGTGAAGAGAAATATCGCTAGACCGTAATACTAAGTGGCAACATAGATGATAAGTTTACAAAACCTTAAGAGTGGAATGACAAAATAAACACCTCATAACCTATTTGAAAACTACCCTAAATGTAAAGGAAGCAAAATATGAACTTTTGTAATAGAGTCAGGAGCATGGACAATGCAAATGAGATCTTGCAAGATTTCGTATTTGGTTTATGGAGATTGTGGAAGAACAGAAATGAAGCCGTGTTTCATGGAGTGCACCGACATCCGATGGAGATTTTGGAGGTCTGGAAGAAGAACATTGGGGAATTTAGAGGAGCGAAGCTACAGGTGGCTACCCCTTCGTGCAGGTTTGGCGCAGCGGTGAGGGAGGTAGCGAAAGGACAAAAGGTGGCAAGGCAGAAACCGGAGTTCGCGACTGTTAAGGTTAATACCGATGCGGCATGGTGCAAAGAGTCATTGCGAGCGGGAGCGGGCTGGGTTGCTCGATTTTGCAGGGCTGTTGCGGGCGGGGGGAGGCTCGGGTGATCTGCATTTTTCAAGTGCAGCGACGGCTGAAGCTGCGGCCATTTGGGAAGCGATGGAATTTTGCATTGAGAGATGGAATATGATAAGGTCATTTTTGAGTCTGATACAAAGAATGTTGTACAGATGATCAACAAGGAGTGTGCGCCTGACCTTGCTTTGAAGGTCTTTGGTGGTTCTGTAGGCTTTGTCTTCGGAACCATCTTGGTGCGGTCATTGAGGTTGGGACAACTTCACGCATGGCCAAAGGGCTCGTTTAAAGTTGTTTATGTACTTGGCACATAAACGTTTTTGCTAAAAATATGCTTTGTTGATATTAAAATGCTTCCTGAAAAAGCACTTCGAAGTGCTCCTGAAGAAGCATCTACTCTCCATAAAGGGCTTCCAACATTTTGATTGTCAGAAAACAGTTTTAGTCATTTCCATGAACAAACCCAAGCAACAACTTCCTATTAGAAAGAAAAAACTTGTCATTTTCGATTTTCTTTGGGAACCCAAAAGAGCAGGGAAAAAAAAAAAAAAACAGTATGCAGGAATGAAGTACCCCGTGATTTCAAGCATATGGGAAACCCAGAAATAATAATTAACGAGTAGAGACTTGGGAAACAACGTGCCTCTATACTGCATCTCCAAGCAGGGATACCTTGTACACTACTTCAAACACCTATATACTACCAACGCTCCTCACAACCAGCCTTATTTTGCCGAATCACAAGTCGTGTCAAACAGATTTTTTCGTTTCAAAAGCGAGGGGGGTTCATAACCAGCAACACTGGATAGGAGATGGCCGCTGAAACTGAGGTTGCTGAAGCGGAGGCTGTTGCTGACTAACTTTCCGGCTAGAATTCTAACCAACTTTCCGTGTCTTGAATATTTTTCTCCATGTTCTATACATCTCTTCTTCATCCGTGGCATAACAATGATTAAGGGCCCAATGTACACATGGTGCCAGCGAGTCACAGACATAACAATGACACTGCATTTTAGAAGGAAGAAAAAAAAAAAAAAAAAAAACAAAGACATCGTAGTGGTATATTGTCAAACTCAGGCAATAAAATAGTATTTGATGGAAATTCTATAAGCAACAGCTTGTAAGAGTCAACTCACAAGATTACAGTGGTTCTGGGCCCGGGTAGTTTTGAAAGGGAATTTGGCACAAAGATGTCGTGGATGAGGGTAGTCTCTACATGCTACCTGCAACCAAAGAAACAATATAAGATCAATTAAAGCTGGAAAAGCAAACGGTGCGTCCATTATCCAACTAAGAAAATAACAACAGCCTGAGAAAGATGAAGTGGCCAAGCAAGCAAACAACACCAAACATTCAAAGGGAACTTCTTCAAACCCATTGAACTGCAATATCAAGGTCACCAAAAAGCAAGAAACAGGTTTTCACTTTTACCATAAAACAAGAATATAAAGATAACTATGTCTGAGAAACAATATCATCCAGAAAGACCAAAACTTGAAATATGTGTAAATCATTCCGATGCATCCACAATCAAGTCTCCATTACGAGAAAGTTAGTCGCGAAAGTTTGAAATATGTGTAAATCATTCCGATGTATCCACAATCAACTCTCCATTACGAGAAAGTTAGTCGCGAAAAGTAGAAAAACAAGTCTTGGATTGTTCCTCTTTCATATGACAACAATATCATTAGCCTAACCCAAAACTTAATGCCACAACTAATCAGCTTGCTATGTTTTCATGACAACCAAACAGAGTTAAGCACAAGTCGAAAAATTAAGATGCGATAACCGCAACCCCTTCAGTTGAAATTAAATTTCTTTAAATTCTCTAATCAAATCAACAATAAAAAAACTTCCAAAGCATTTAGTTATCTTTCTCTAACTTCCAATTCAGAGTAAACTAAACCAACCAAACAATGCAAATCGTAATTAAACCTAATCAGGTCGAATTTATACCTGCCCCGTTTCCCCAACTACAAGCAACTCGTCGGAGCCGCTACCCGAATCCTCCACCACCGAAACCGGCTTATCCGGGTCGCCGTCCAAGACCACACAATCATCGTCATCATCCGCCACCGTCCGTTTCGAAGACTTTTGGCTAGGCTTTGAGTTGACCTCACTGATCACCACAATGTCATCGGAATCATCGTCGTCGGTTACCTTGTCGACGGATTCCAGAAGCTCCGATACACAATCAAAGTTGTCCTCCTCATCCAGGTCGATCCGAGGCAGTTGGTCGTCCGAGAGATGCGATCGGGCTCCTTCAGCACAGATTGAGCTCCGAGGTAGCTGGATCGGATCAATTGCAGGAGAAGCATGATGATCGCCGGCAAGAGGGGCAGAGATGCCTTCCCCGGCACCTCGAGAGAGCATTTCCCGACGAAATTTTTCAAGAGAGGCATCGAAGGCCTTTTCGAACGCCTTTTCAAGGGCATTGTCGATCGCAGTGGCGATGAGGGAAGGTAAAGAGGCGATGATAGCCTCCAAGGAAGCAACGCGAGTTTCCATGGCAGAGTCACAAGTGGCAGCGGATTGGCGGGCGCGCACAGAAGGGAATCCAGGAGTCGATATGGGGGATGCCATTGATGAAACCCTAATCTCAACCTTAACCATTACACATGCAAGAGAGAAGGAAAGGAGACGAAGGAAAGTCACTTTGGTTTATGAGAATCTTTCCCTTAAAATCACATTCCTTCTTTTAATCTTTACACCATTCATAAGAAATCTAATAATTTAAAACTAACATGTGGGCACACTCTGAAATTTTTTTATTTTTGTTTTTGAAGTAGAAGGAGAGTGGAAGAGAGTGATAGAGAATGTGAGAGTAGAAATTTTTTTTTCTTTTTTAATTAGAAATATGGTAAGATTATATGTAGGTGATATTTTGAAAAAAAAAAGTAAAATTTAATTATGTGAAATTACATTTCTGCCCATATTTCTTATTCTTGTTTTGTTTTAATTAGAATGTTAAATTTGTAATTTCATAAAATTTTAATTGATAATAAGTATTTTATCTATTAATTAGTAGAGATTATGTCACATATTTAATGAGCTTTATTTTATTTTTTTATTTCTTTTATTCAAACCCAATTGAACCACCAAACCATGAATATTTTTCCATCAAATGCCTGAACCTTTTCTTACCGAGGAAGATAGAAGATGGCTAACTACGGTTGGCGTGTGAAAAGAGGAGGAGGGTGTGGTGGAAAAGAGGAAAGGTTGTTGAGCAAAAACAATAAAAAAAGTAAAGCTCATTAAATTCGTGGTACAACTCAAATTCAATAAAAAAAAATTTAATGATAATATCATAGAAATTAAGATTTTTAAATCAAAATTACAAATCTAATAATCTAGTCGTTAATTATTAGATTATTACTTAAATGTTAATTAATGCGCTTATTTATTATCGATGACACATATTTAGTTTACAAATTTGATTTAAAATTTTGGTCTTCCGTATTACCTTTTTTTATGCTAAGTAAGGGAGTTGGCTTACCTTGACTACTAATAATAACATGATTCAAATCAGTTTTTACGAAAATCGAATCTAACACCTTTCATTAATAAATAAATATAAATATCAGATATTTTTTAAAACGATTTAGACTAAAGGGAGTAGAGAATCCGTATACGTAAGCAACGAGTCCAGAATCGGCGTCAAAAGTCGGTTTTAATAAATAAGTACCGAGAAAAAGGCACGTGCTGATCTGTAAAACCTAGGAGGATTTCCCGCGACTAATTATTAATTATATTTAATTCGGTACAAATTTGACGGTCAGGATCGTTGGACTTACAACACGACAGCATCGCAACGGCATTTACAGTTTTGTCCGGTGGAAGTGGGGTACTTTCTGCACGCGACACGTCGGATGTTAAAGCCAAAAACATTTCTAGTTAGTGGAAGTTAGTACATGTTTTTAACTTTTTTGTAATTGCGTTTTAGGCCTTGAGGTTTTTTATAATGACGTAATTCCACCCATTACTCTCTTATACATAATGGGGAGCCCCCCCCCCCCCCCCCTCTCTTTTTTTTTTTTAGTTAATATTATGCAGTTAGGAATACATCATGGAAATATACATATTACCCATTACTTTCTAATACATCATGGAAAGTATTCATTCTACATTCTTTTAAGTAGTTAGGAATAGTCGAAGTGGTGACAATGAGCGGAGAAATGAGTTATGATTAAGTTATAGGCAACTTTTAGAGAAGGGAGGGAAGAGCAAAAGTTACAATCGTATAGGGTCTCAAATTTGTTTTGAAAGTTATTGCTTTGTAATATTAATATATTGTCATGTTTTTTTTTGTAGAAAACTATCTTAAGGAGGGGCTCTTTCAATTCCAAAAAAGTTAAGGGGAAATTGGTTAATCTCGCAATCAGCGTCAGAGCATACTTACAATTTCGAACTAGAAGTAGTTACTTGTGTCACCTAACTATCAACTGCCATATGTATATATGAATTTACGTAAGAATTAATATATCACGCACCAATTGGAACTATTGATAGTAAACCTCGAACCTTGGTGGGCAACACACAAAGCAGGAAACCAACTAAGCCAACCCTCGTTGACCTCAGCCACTTCCCTTTAATATTAAGCTTCACATAATTTGTAGGAGGTGATTCCGTTTAGCAACATACATTTTTTTTGTTTTATAGGAATAAGTTGTTTTATTTTATCAAGAACAAAAACATAATCTTAATTAAAATACTTGTTATGTAAAAATAATTACAGAGTACGAATACAAAATAAACAAAAGAGAACATCAAATAGTCTCTTACAAAATAACTTTTTTTTTAGTACATCGATATTTTTATATTAGGAGAATGAGAGTTCGGCTAAGTCACACAATGGGTAACCTAATTTGGTATCGAATTCGCCATCCACGAGATTCGAACCTAAGACCTTTCACTTCTAAGTGAAGAGGAATGCCATCAAACCATAGTATTAAACAGTTCTTAAAAAATAACTTAAAAAGTTGCTCCTTCCATTTTAGCAACATACTAAGGATCCAATCATGCGACGTTTCTTCTATTAGAAACTGGATAATATATAAATAATTATAATATTGTTCATAATTTCAATTTTGTTAGAAATGCTTCAAAATGGGCAGTATAAATGATAGTTCTCCTAGACACTTTACTTTCTTTTTGTAATGTACAACTGATAGGAGCAGAATCCTAAATCAAATATAAAATTTCTTAAATTAAATATTCTTAATCACTTAAATTATAAGTTCCTAAAGAGTAATATCCAATTATATATAATCAATCGTGTGCATCCACGTCTACGTAAATTTTCTTTTCGTATAGAATAACCAATATATATATATATATATTTTTTTTTTTTGTGTAACGGCATATCGTCCAAAAAATAACAAGACCTTTTTTGTTTCTCTTCTTTTGTCCCGATAAGAAAACTGAAAATGTCTGCAATAGCGAATATGTGAAATCAAGGGGTGGTTTCTGATATTCTCTGAATTTCGATTTCTACCTGCGTTGTCTTTTCCTTTTTTCTGTTCGCTCTCCGCCCTCTGCTTTCACAGGTCACCTCGTCCTTAAAAAAACCTTCCTCTCCTCTCTCTTTATACAACCCCATTCCAAATTTAGCAACTTTCTCTCTCCTCTCTCTCTCTCTCTCTCTCTCTCTCTCTCTCTGAAGGACACTCCATTTGAAACCAAAAAAGGAGGTATGAATTTTTATTTGTTTTATTTATTCATTTTTTTCTTATTAGTCTGCATTATGATATTTAATTTCCTCATGCAGTTACCATCTGAATTATACCTCTTCATCTTCTGTTTCAGTTACAAATCAATGCAATCATGATAGCATTCACAAATTTTGAAATTTATTTGAAATTCATAAATGCTTGATTTTTTGCTATTTCATTTCTCTGCATTATTATTGTGTTTGTATTGAATTTTGTGCTTTGCTTCACATTCTATGGGTACTTTCAGGGTGCAAATTGCTTGCCTGATTAAAAAGTTCAAAACTTGTGTGCAAAACAGTGGAGTTCATGTTTAAAGGACATAAATTTGTGGATTTTGTGAGTCGATTGAATGCTTCTGTGATCTGGGTTTTTGCGAAATCGAGGATCAAACACATTTAAGGAGAGAATCCTTTCGGATTTCGTGTGTTTTTTTTTTTTTTTTTTTTTGCATCTGGGTCTTGTTATTGTGGGTCGGAATGTTGGAGTGATAAGAAGTAGTGAAATGGGTTGAGTGTATGCTGGTTTTGGGATTTTTTAAGCAATGGAGCGACGCGTATTAATTCGGTGAAATGAGCATTTTATAAAGATTAGATTAGGGTTTTAAAATGGAGGGTAAAGAAGATGGTGAAGCATACGAAGAGCGGCCTCCGTCGCCTACTCAGGTTTTGCAGGAAATATCTGAGGAGGCATTTAAGGTGGCAGGGGAAACACTGCAAAATGTGGTCTCAGGTAATTCGAGCATGCCACCACTGGCACCGGGGCATACGCGGTCCCAAAGTGAAGTTGTAAGTACGACACACAGACGGAGCAATAGCTTTCAAAAATTGAAAACTCAGATGCAGAAGGCTTGGAGATGGGGCGGAAGTTCGCGGGATGGTTTGCGGTTGTCTTTCAATCCTGAGGTTTTGGCAAACCAAAAACGCCAGTGGTATCAGCGTCACTCCAAATCAAAGGTGTCCTTTTCTATGGCATTGCTTGATACATTGTTACTACACAAAAAAGGAAAAACAGAAAACAGAACTTGATTACTCGAGAATTTCATGCTATCGAGTAATAGTAAATTAAGAGGGTTTAAACTTAATCTATTGTGTAAGAAAGTTACCTTTTTCCCACTACTTTGTTTATGAATATAGGTATAGGATTTTTGATTGCATAATCAGACATCAAAACTAGAAAAAGTAAATGATTAAATGTAGCGATTATAAAAATCTTGGAACCAATTTCCCCCGCGATGCTTGAATGTTATTGCTTAAAAATCTCTTTTCTTTACCGGTTTGATTGTCTGTCTAATTACTAAAGTTTTATGATTATGCCGTTCTAGGGCCATATAAAATATACCGAGCCAAGTTCACTCTTTGAGCATTTTATTATTGCGGGGCTTCATCCTGATGCTAACCTTGACACTGCGGAGGATGCATTTGTTAAAAGAAAGAAATGGGAGATGGAGATGATAAATTGCGGAATTGTTGACCTTAAATTGCTACAGCAGCGGGGACCTCCAATTCCTACATTAGAACCTCAGGTTGGGTGTATAACTGCATCAGAATTTCCCAGGAACTTTATTTCTCTTCGGCATGCGATGATAATTTATATGTTCCTGAATGTTTTACTGAATCTGCAGATACTTTTTAAATATCCTCCTGGGAAGCGGTTTGATATGCGTTTGACAGATTTAGCTTCCTTTTGTTTTCCTGGAGGGGTTAAGGTTCGATATTGCTCATTTTCCATTAATTTTAAATTCACTCATTATCTTGTATTTATTTAACACTTATGTTGTATAATATACTGTTCTCTTACAGGCACGGTTATTGGAGAAGACTCCGTCACTAAGTGATTTAAATCAAGTTGTTTATGGACAGGTACACGAAACCGTGTCTCATGTAATCTATGACATATATATTCATCAACTTTTCAATTTCTCTTCGTTTTATCTCGTGACAAAACACAACTTGTTGTAGGGGTTGGTTCAATTTCAATCGGTTATATTTTTTGCCAAAACAAAAAATTGAACTGAAATTATTGTTTGGTTCAGTTTTCTTCAG